TTGGGTTCGTAGTCTAGAAAACTAGCAACTTCGCTGAGGTCATTTAGTTATTACCACGACAGCTTCTCACGGCTAGAAAACGTAGGCACGCTGAAGCTGTCAGCAAGCGGTGCAGGGAGATAGTAAATCCGTGACAGAAGGAAATAACTACATAGATAAATCGTCTATCCGAGTCGTCGACAGCCTGCCGGTGTTCGAACAAGTGAGTGTAGCAGACGAGCTCACAAAGCAGAACCGTACCGCTCTAACCAGGCATTGCATCATTTCGACCATTAAAACCACGGTCTAGGCTCCATGGTGCAACGGACCTGACACTCACTGTGACTCCGCAGTTTACAAAGAACAGACGGCTTTTATTATAGATATTAAGTTAAGGGAATTATTATAGATATTAATTATATCTATAATAATTTTATAATTATAATAAAATTATAATAATTCTATTATAGATATTACCTAAGTTAAGGATATTATAGACACAGTTAAGGGAAATGTGCCGATTGTTAAATGCTTAGCGACCCCTAAGCTTGAAGCCCATTGCAGCAGTGCACTGACCCTCGGTTCGTTTGCACGGCGAAGGTCTATTCATTATTGTTTGAACATTCATCTACACATTCAGTGCATATTAGTTTGCACTTAGCCTTCACCATAACGTCAGAATTCGAGAGCTCGTAAAAAAAACTTTGAGAGAACCTTTGCAAGAACGCACATAGGGACGTTGCTCCCTTTGGCGACCTATTCCGTCGATGGTTCAAGGAAAGGTTATCAGCTTGGCAAACCATTCAAAGCCCAGGATCAACCACAAATGTGGCATCAATAATTCTGAGCAGCAGCCAGACTCCACGCTACAGTTAGTGAGTCGCTAGCCGAGCTTTCATCCACTCCCGTGTGTTTGGCAACGCCCGCTGATCTGCCGGAGCACACCGTGATAGTTTCGTCACTCGGCGACCACGGCCCAGGCTCACGGAACATTTGGCAACGGACGGGAGAGCGGCAGGGAGGGGTCCGTGAAAGGCCGGCCGACCACCGGCTCCCCTCCTCTCCAGACCTCTGTCTGGCGCCCCGCCCCTCCTCCCCAGACCCCGAGGTTGACGTTCAGTGCCACCCCTCCCTCTCCTTTCCAGCCCTCTGGACCTCTGTGTCGATAACCGCCACCGACTGTCCCGCGGGAGACCGTCGGACAATAGTCAGTGGTAATGCATTCGATTGAACAATCAATAACGACTATCATGTCAGCTAGTCAGAGTCTCAGACACAGACTGGTGTTGCCATGAGTTCTTGTTACTTTTTTTCTACACAAAGCACGGCGATCGGGACAGTTTCCGTAACCACTTGACGGCGTGATAACGGTCGAGCTTTATCATGGCGTTTCAGTAGGTATGTAAAACAAGCATGAGGCCTAACAAAAGTTTTAGTACCTATTTTGCGGCTGCACTATTTTGACACCCTAAGCCCGAAGTAAAAGTATCTACTATTGGTCGGCAGAAATAATGATAGGCCAAACTAAACATAGCTACACCAGGGATATTACGAGCCAGAATAAATTTGCCACTGGTATAGACCCCGTCGCAATTCAGACCGACCAGGAAACTGTGTCTGTAGATTGAGTAAGTGGCCACTGGCCACCTCCTTTGTTTTGGAGGCCAAGCTCGTAGGCTAGTCACAAGTTGCGGAAGTAGGCTACGAGTAATTTCTGGAGTGAGACAGGCTCATTACATAACCAGATGAGATGCAGGTGATTATTTTGCGTTGTGATGTGGGTCGTTTGTGGAGCACTGTCACGAGTCTGCCACCGACCAGCCACCGGCACCTGCCGACCAGCCCGGCCTGACGGCCCCTTCGTGACCAGGAAACTGGTGTGTTCGGCCGGGCCGGGCAAAATGTGCCCCCTGTCCGCCAGTGCAGCGGCGCGCGGCGGTTTTTGGCCTGTTCCGCCTGCCTGCCCGACCCACACTCACGTGCAGGGGGGGGGGGGCAGCTGGTAGGGGGTCGTGTGGGCGTCGTTGACTTGACACGTACACAGGATGCGAGGTACCGGCGCGCGGCGGGCCCAAGGTTTGACCACAGCGGGCGGCGCTCGCGATACGGCCGACTCGCGGAAATCACGGACCCTCCGACTGATGGCGCCGGAGCGGCGCGGCGCGGCGCGCTGGGTGTTTGTTTCCCGATACTGGGCGGCTCGTCACCGCAGGCGGCCTGTGGGAGGAGGCGGAGGGTCCGACAGGGCGGCAGGGGTCTGACCCCCGCTGCAGTCGGCGGGGTCGGCCCGTCACCGCCGCAGGCGAGGTCGCCGGCGCCGCCAGACGAGGAAGGACTGCCGCCGCCCGGCGACAGGCGCCCCGCCCGCCTGCCGGCCGCCCCCTCAGCGGAGCGCGCGCACCAAGGCCGAGTACGGGGCGGGTCGCTCTCCGTGGCAGGAGGAGACCGACTGATCGTTCTCAGGTAATATGAGTGGCTCTCCGTCTCCCAGCTGGCACAAAAACGGGACGCGAAGGCCGGCGAGGTAGAGAGGCTCATAGAAAAGGTGATCCTGTAATTCACTTCTGGCTTGTTGACATGGACCCAAGAGTTGTCTCCATTTCAAGGTGGTGCTGAGTGATGGCCTAAAATAATAAGTTGTCACATTTGGAACACTTTTCAAGCGTTTAAGGCATCATAACACTGGACTATAGCACCATAACGGTTTGACATTCAGGAAGAACACACTGTAAACAATATTTACTAACTTCCGTGTTGTCCTGCAGCAAATCTCACTAACCCAAAGTGTGATCAATGGCGACATCTCACTAACCCACGGGCGTGTGAATGTCAATTGAACACGCCTTGGGCTAGTGAGCTTTGCCAGGATAACAGGGAAGTTAATAAATATTTTTTTTACAGTGCATATAATCATGGAAGTGTCCAGGGAATGAAGGTCGCTTCGACAGCGCGAAGGCCAATGTGCGGGACAATGAGAGGTAGGAACACGGTGATGGCGCATCCCCCGAGATCCAGACCACGAACTCTTCAGAGATTCGGCTGTAGTGCATTTTAAAATCACATACAAAAGGCCTACACGGCGCACGTCTTCCTACTCGTAAAGGGAATTTTCAGATTAACCTTGGATTCAGCCGAGTTCCGAATATCAACAGTGAAGTGGGGGGGGGACGTCCCTAACCGATTAGGTGGTCATATACCCTGTAAGGGCGCCGTGGGGACTGGGGGGAAGGGGGGATCAACAGCCGACACGACACGGCACTACTCCGTGCATACAGGTCAGCCGACCGAACCAGCAGCAGCCGCCGCACTGCGAGTGGCGCGGCGATGACCACACAGCGAACGCTGCAGCCGTCGGCGCTTTATCCCTCGCGGGCCCGGGGGGGGGGGCGTTTTTCGCCCCCCCCCCTGGCGAATATTTGCGATAGCTCCCGAACGCTTAGGAATAGGAAAGCGAAACTTTCAGTACCTTTTCTCCCATCAATTTGACATCTTCTGAAGTAAAAAATTTGGACCTTGTCCCATTGATGACGTGACAAGGTCCATTTTTCTAGACCCCTGCACGGCAAACTTCGGCTTCACAGGCGCAAACTTCAAATAGCTGCTAAAAATAGAGTTTTAGAGATAAAGACAAATTACGAGCACGGTTGTGTAGCGTTTGACCTAGAGAAAAATAGAAAAATAGTTTTGGTGACCTGAGGTCAGAGGTCAGGTCAACGACCCCGAAATGTGATTTTAGTTTTTCGCAAATAACTTTGCTAAAAAAGGTACTAGAGCTACGGCAATGGTACCATCGCATTCGCCTTGTCAAGCCGCGTCGAATGATATATATATTTTGTTCGGAAAAGGTCAAGTTTTATGTTGACCTCATGTGACCTCGAATGACCTCTGGTTGACCTTGACACATGAGAGGTCATCTCTGATGGATTTGTACCCGCTGATCACGAATCTGGCATCTATTTTCCTCTAAGCCTTCATTTAGAGCTTCTGGAGGGCAAAACTGTCTTATTTATTATTACAAGCTTGAATCAGTGAAATAGCCTCTAGCAGGGATACTCTTCTGTGACCTTGACCTTTGAGCAGCCTTGTATCGTAAGATGAAACACAAATAGGGAACTGATAAGCCTCAAAACATTTCAAAACATCTTGGAAGCTAGCACGCAAGATGTGCGAAAAAGTGCCAAGTTTGAGGTCAATGTTGAGCGTGACCTCGACCTTGACCTTTAATTTTAAGCACATTTTCGGAATCCTCATATTCTCTTCTTTCGTTTGACACCCAATTTTGCCGGTTTGATGCAGCCTGCCGTCCTCTAGAAGGCTTACTTTGAGATCACTACACATGTGCCGGTTTTTGTCTTTGACCTTGACCTCTGACCTTGAAAATTGACCTGAGGTCAAAAAATTTAGGTGCTTTAGAATCGTCTCGTAAGGACCTTTCGTTTGGTACCGCTTTTGTTTCCGTAGCTCCCTTATTCACGGAGTTAGACAGGGGGGGGGGGGCGAAAAAACGCCCCCCCCCCGGGCTGCGGTGGTTGGGATTACCCCCCGGGCCCGGCCGGGTTATGGTATACCTACCCTGCGAGAAACACACCTCTGAGGCAACATACACCTTCTATTGAGAACACTGAGATTGTCATTGAGAAGTCTGAAAAATATCACTGTTGTGGCGAGAACTAATTTAGTGGCGCTGACCGCGCAGCCGATTGGCGCGGACGCGCAATTATCGTTTGAGTTTTACGCCTTTGTTGATAGTGTTGGTCGTTGCGGTGATTATGATTTTATATTACGATCGACACTTAGTTAGTAATATGTTTGGTTCGAAATGGCTTTGTTCAGTTTCGATCCTTTATTTCGCATAACCTGTTCACCCCCTCTCTTTATGATTGCCAACTGTTTTGGGTCGTAAGGACGAAGAGGTGTCGAGTCACCTCTAGAGCTCTTCCGTTCTTGACCTTGGCCGAGATAGTGCCATGTGTTTTTCTGTTGTGTGTGTGGGGGAATAAACCGCAAGTGAGGCGGACGCAGGTTTGTCCAAACCTCCCCCACCCCGAGGGCACAACAAGTGGCGACGAGGCGTAAGTTTTTACGCGGCCGTGATAACTGTCGGCCATGGATTTTTCGGTGGCCCCTGCGCCGTTTTTGCCGGCGGCCGGCGCCGAGCCCGGTACGGCCTGGCCGCGGTGGATAAGGATGTTCGATAACTTCCTGGTGGCCGTGGGCGGCGGCTCATTTTCAGCTGCGCGCAAGGAGGCCATCCTTCTCACGTGCCTGGGGGCGGAGGGGCAGCGAATTTTCGAGTCCCTCCCAGCTGCTGTCAAGCAGGAAGGCGAGGACCAGTACGCCTTCACCAGGCGGCGCCTGGAGGCCCAGTTCGCTCCTCGCCAGAACGTGTGTGTGGAGCGTTACCGTTTCAGGAGCCGGGTGCAGCAAACTGAGGAAACAGTCCAGCAGTGGGTGTCGATACTGCGCCAGCTGGCCAGCTCCTGTGAATATGGTGACAGAACCGACGAGTTCATAAGGGACCAGGTCATCGAGCGTACTAACTCTTCCAAGTTGCGACAGCGACTTCTTATGGAGGGCTCTGACCTGACTTTGGAGCGCACCCTCACCATCAGTGACACACTTGAGTCGGCTGAACGTGAGGCTCGGGTGATGGAGACACCAGCTGCTCCAGTCCCTGTTCAGGCTGTCCAGCAGCAGCAGCAGCAGCGTCGGCGGCCTCAGCGTGGTGGGGCCAGGACCCGTGCTGCTGGTCGGGTCTCCACTCATCAGCAACAGCCTCAGCAGCAGAGGCCGGCAGGGAGTAGCAGTAGCCTGTGCTGGGGGTGCGGGCGTGCTGGACACAGGCGAGGGGACCAGTGTTGCCCTGCTGTCAATGTGAAGTGCTCCAAATGTGGGAAAGTGAATCACTTTGCCCAGCACTGTGTCCAGAAGCGAGTGGTGTCCAGTGTTCAAGTGCTGGCAATCGGGGCATCACCAATGACTCTGACAGCCCAGGTGGAGGGGAGGGAGGTCGTGTTCACGGTAGACTCTGGCTCCCCAGTGTCCCTCCTCCCCAGACACCTGGCACCTGGGGCCCTTGAGCCAGCAGCAGAGCGCCTGTGCTCATATGGGGGGAGTGTGTTAGATGTGTTAGGGGTAAAAAGTGTAAATGTGTCATGCAGGGGGGAGTGTCATGATGTAACTGTGTATGTTGTGCCGCATGGTCGTGCTCTGATGGGCCTGGACATGATGAAACTGTTCAAAGTGTGCATCATTGGTGACAGTGTATGCTCTGTGTCCACAGACCCGTCCTGTCATGCCAGCCCAGTCCCTTCGCCCGTCGGGCCAGCCGAACCTGCCAGCCCTCACGCCGGTCAACCTGCCTCACCGTCCGGACCTGCCTCTCCGACTGGACCTGTTTCTCCGTCAGGAGAGCAGCCAGCCATCCTGGGCTACCAACACCGGGTGACCATCGACCCAGGGGTGGCGCCAGTGCGCCAGCCCCTGCGGAGGCTGCCCTTGGCAGTGCTGGACGAGGTGAGTGCCAGGCTCAAGGAGCTGGAGGAGCAAGGGATAATTGAGAAGGTCAGTGCATCTACCTGGGTCTCTCCTCTTGTGGTGGGAAGGAAGCGGGATAGGTCCATCCGCCTGTGTGTAGACATGAGGCGGGTCAACAAAGCTGTGATTACGGATGGCTACCCGCTCCCCAGGATCGAAGATGTCCTTGACCGCCTGAGTGGGTCTCAGGTCTTTTCCAGGCTGGACTTAAAGGATGCATATCACCAGCTGGAGCTCCATCCTGACAGCAGAGACCTAACGACTTTTATAAGTCATCAGGGACTCTACCGGTTCCGGCGCGTCAACTTCGGCCTCGCGAGCGCCGGGCCGTGCTTCCAGAGAGTGATGGCGTCCATGCTGGAGGGGGTGCCAGGCGTGGAGGTATACCTGGACGACATCCTGGTCCACGCGCCGTCCCAGGCCGAGCACGACGCCCGTCTGAGGGAAGTGCTGCGGCGTTTCGATGCCCACAAGGTGCGGGTCAACTGGCCCAAGAGCGTGACGAATCAGAGCGAGCTCTCCTTTCTGGGATATCTGGTCTCGTCAGCTGGTGTCCGCATCGACCGGGAGCGGATCAGGCCGTTATTGGAGGCGGCCGAGCCGCGGGACGAAAAGAGCCTGCGCGCATTCCTCGGTGCCGTAGGGTACCATGCGCGGTTTCTGCCGCGGTTCTCGGACGCAGTAGAGCCGCTGAGGGCCGCGCTCCGGGCGGACCAGTTCGAGTGGACGGCGGCGCTGTCCAGCGCGGTCCGCCGCGTCAAGGACGCGATAAGCGAAGCACCAGCACTGTGCATGTTCAGCACGGAGCTACGAACGGTGCTCTCCACTGACGCCAGTGACGTCGGCTGCGGTGCGTGCGTGACGCAAATGGACGCCTCGGGTCAGCCCAGGGTCATTGCGTACGCCTCGAAGTCTTTCTCGGCGGCCGAACGCAACTACTCGGTAGTGGAGAAGGAGGCGCTGGCATGTGTATGGGCCGTCGAGAAGTTTCGCCACTACCTGTGGGGTCGGCGATTCACCCTCCGAACCGATCACCAAGCTCTCTGCACCATTTTCGGTGTCAAGGGCTCCAACCGCGTCGGCCGGCGAGTCGCGAGGTGGGAGGCCCGGCTGCTGGAGTTTGCGTTCGACGTCGAGTACGTCAGGTCGGAGCGGAACGGAGTGGCGGACGGCCTGTCCCGTCTGCCGGTCGCCGAGACCTGGTGGCCTGATGATGATTCTATCCAGATCGCGGCTCTGTCGTTAGCAGCAGCAGTCACGGAGGAGGAGCTGCGGGACGCCTCGGCGTCAGACGAGTGTCTGGACGTGATCCGGGGGTACCTCGCCGGACGGTGGCCTCGCCAGAGGGATGTCGATCCTCGGGCGACTGGTTTTTACCAGGTGAGAGACGAACTGTCCCAGCTCGGACCGCTGCTTTTCCGCGGCGAGCGACTGGTTGTGCCGGCGGCGCTGCGTGAGCGCGTCCTGAGGAACGCCCACGAGGGTCACCAAGGTGAGACAAGGACCAAGCAGCGCCTGCGCGCGCAGTTCTGGTGGCCGCGGCTGGACAAGGAGGTACGTGACCTCCTGCGGAGCTGTGAGGTGTGCACGCAGCATGACGGCCACGTGCGGCAGGAGCGGCCCCCTCTCCAGCCGATTCCTCTTCCGGACGGTCCGTGGCAGCGCCTCATGATCGATGTGATTGGGCCCATGCAGGGGCCCCAGCACGAGCGGTACGGCATCGTCTTGTGCGACATGTTCAGCAGGTGGCCAGAGGTGGCGCTGTGTCGGGACGCGACGGCGGCGTCTATAATCAGCTTCCTGGAGGCGGTGTTCAGCCGCGAGGGGTTGCCGTTGGAGCTGGTCTCCGACAACGGTCCAGCGTTCCGGTCTGCCCAACTCCGTAATTTTTTGACCCGACTGGGGGTCAAGCAGACTTTCAGCTCACCATACTCTCCGCAGTCCTGCGGCATGGTGGAGCGTCTGAATCGGACGGTAAAAGACGCCATCCAGTCGGCCCGGCTGGCCCGGGAGCCGCGCTCGGAGTACTTGAGGCGGTTCCTCACTGAGTACCGGGCTACCCCGCACGCAGGTACGGGAGAGACGCCGTTCCGGCTGATGCGGGGGCGGGAGGCACGGACGTTGCTGGACGTCGTGCCAGGTGAGGTTTCCTCGCCGGACACCGGCGGTGAGCTTCGTGCGCGACACGAAAAGTATCAGGCGGCCTACAAAGCCAGATATGACCGGGGGTCGACCGGCGCCCCGCGCTGGCGCGTCGGCGACTGGGTTCGGGTCCGACAGCCGGTGAGTGGACGTGTGGAGGGCCAGAGGGCCGTGCAGATCAGCCGGAGGACTGGCCCGGTAAGTTACCGGCTCACCAGCGGCGAGCGTGTCCACGCTAGACGCTTGGTGCCCGGCCGGCCAGAAGGTGAGGACGCGGCCGCGCCGCGGGGTGGTCCCGGCGGTGGTGCTTATCCAGTTCCTGAGCCCCGCCCCACGCCAGTGCGCACCCGCTCCTCGGCACTCAGAAGTCCTGCTCACAGCCGCTGTCCAACCCCAAAGTGTACCGCCCCGGCGGGTGAGCCAGGGCCCCGCCGTAGCAGGCGGGGTCGCAGAGGCCCAGATCGGTTCACTCCGGGCGAGTAGCGTTTAGGATTGGGCTATCATCGTAAGTTACGTTTGATAGCTGTGAGTGTAATGGTTTCCGCGGATAGTGGGAGGCTTAAGAAGCGGGAGTGTTTCCCATTAAAGAGAGGGGTGGTGTTGTGGCGAGAACTAATTTAGTGGCGCTGACCGCGCAGCCGATTGGCGCGGACGCGCAATTATCGTTTGAGTTTTACGCCTTTGTTGATAGTGTTGGTCGTTGCGGTGATTATGATTTTATATTACGATCGACACTTAGTAATATGTTTGGTTCGAAATGGCTTTGTTCAGTTTCGATCCTTTATTTCGCATAACCTGTTCACCCCCTCTCTTTATGATTGCCAACTGTTTTGGGTCGTAAGGACGAAGAGGTGTCGAGTCACCTCTAGAGCTCTTCCGTTCTTGACCTTGGCCGAGATAGTGCCATGTGTTTTTCTGTTGTGTGTGTGGGGGAATAAACCGCAAGTGAGGCGGACGCAGGTTTGTCCAAACCTCCCCCACCCCGAGGGCACAACAATCACTTTACAATTCGAGTGAGTAATAAGCGTGCTCACTAGGAGTCACCCGCGTGCTATTAGAAAAGCTATTAGACATTCTTAGGACGCCTTGAATACTGGAAAACGATGCTTATTCGTAGCCGTTCGCGACTTTTTCCGATATGTCCATCACCAACTCCATCTGACTAAAAAAAAAAAAACACTGCGTAACCATCATCCCACATGATAGGGGAGAGCGGGGAGAGTTGTATCATGTCCAAGTTGTATCAGGGCGAATTGTGCCAAACTTATCCAATGGATGGCGCTCGCGACACGACCAGCCGATGAGGTTTTCCGGGCGCCATCTTTCCCTGTTCTGTCTTGTGGCTGAGTGGACGCGTCTCGAGGTGAGAGCCGATTTTATGTTTTTTTAATGTCATTCTAAAAAAATAAGTTGCAAGAAAATGTGTGTTCTGGGCATTTAGATGTGCACGAATTTGAAAGATCTCCGTAGCGGTGGTGAGGGTAGGTTCTAAGGCTGCGTGAGTGAAAACGGATTTCTCCAGCTGTCCGCTGTTTTTTGAGCACGAGGATGTTTTTTCCAAGATGGCGGCTAGGTACATGTTGTATCAGAGCCGGGTGGGGTATGTTGTAACATGTATGTATGTATGTATGTATGTATGTATGGGTATGTTGCTTTTGATCGCGAAAGCTAAGCCCTGGCTCGCGTTTATAGGTAACTAGTCAATGCTCGTTCCATTTCGGCACAATGTGTTGGCTTCTTTGCTCTTAACGGGCCACTTTTGCGTCTAGTCTGTTGATGTTTCGTTCGGATTGCATTGACCTAAGTTTGGTCTAATAAAGTGAAGCCTTTGAGCATACCTATACATTGTATTAACCACATTTATTGTTGTTGTTATGTTCAAAACCAGTAGCAAGCACACTCCCTGAAACGTGAGATAGTGATACAAATTACCCCACCATGTGATACAACTCACCCAAGCCATGGGGCAAGTTGTATCAAAAACATTGTTCTATTCGGGAGACCGTAGAAGAAAAACTGGTAGAGGTAGCGGAAAAGTTACTTTGCACAAAAAAAGCAGAAGAATCAAGGAAGGAGATAGTATGGAAATAATGAGTTTATCACGGATAGTTACGAGGTTATGGGTCTCGGAGTAAAAACTGATACAACCCACCCCACTCTCCCCTATTAGCGCCAGGAGAAGCATTTTGTACACCACAAAAAAACTTCATCGGGTTCCCGTCACTAAGGCTCGGCGATGGAACATTTCCCATAAATGAGCTGTAGGCGCGATTTGATAGGCCTGGTTGTCCCCCTCGCGGACCCGGGGAACAATATTCCCCCCCCCCCTGACGAATATTTGCGATAGGTACCAGTAGCTACGCGAGCGCTTAGGAATAGAAGCGCCAAACCTTTATTGCCTTTTCCCCATCTATTTCACATCTCCTGCAGGAGATGACTGACTGCAGGAGTAAAAAAGTTGAACCCAACCCCTTTGATGACGTCACTGGGTCGATTTTAGACCCTTGCACGGCAAATTTTGACATCACAAATTTGTGAACTTCAAACAACTGTCAAATATATGTAGTTTGAGAGATAAAAACAAATTTCGAGCACGGTTGTGTACCGAGTGATCATTTTGGTATGATATAAAAACAATTGTTAATATCAGCCATGTTTTAAGCTGGATAGTTAACCCTCGCCCGCACATGGGGGGGGGGGGTGGTTGCCACCCCCCCCCCAGGTAGTCTTTCTGCTCTGCACTCAACATTTTTAGAGCTAGGAGGCTGATTTTTGGTATAGCTGCTCCTCGATCCTTTCTTGATGTCCACTTGTTGCCGACGCCTGTTTGCAGGTCA